CAGACAGTTTATTAATGGGATACAAGGAAGGTCGGTGTGAGCACGAACGCCGGACGGACAAGGCTAGACCCTAAAGAGCTCCGCCTCTGAAAAACACTTTTTGTAGTATCGTTTATTGGTGATTGGTACAAAATAGCAGGCGCGTGATGTTTTCTAAATTATTCAGTTTACGAGGTTTTGCGGCACCATTAATATTGTTCTTATACCAGCCGCGTCTCACCGGTGATCGCGGGTAGCTCGTTCCGACTTGGGTGAGTCCCAATTTCGAAAGTAATTCGCGTCGCGTCCGCTTAGGAGACGGGGGTTGGCATCGCTGAAACCCCCTCCAACGTATATGTTTCGGCACCCTCGTGGCCGATTGCAGCCAAAATAGAACAGGCGCAGCGGGCGCTATCGAATGCGGTACTCCCGAACCAATACAAGCAGCCGTGCAGTTCCCCGAGCGGCCGCTCCGGAAACAAAATGGCGGCGTTGCGATCGCCATTAGCCCGGTTCTCGAGTACGGATCGGTGCCACGTTTTCAGAGCAGGCTCTATGGCAGTTTCCCAACTGAGTGGTTCTAGCAACGTTGATCAGAGCTCATCGGAACTCGGCGTCGTTATGACGTCAGAGCAACCCCTGCGCGAGGAGCAGACGATTTGCTCTCCGCATAGTTTTACACAGCGACGGGGCGAAACTCCGGAAAATTCGGAAGATGCCGAAACTTTAGGGTGCAATTTCGATTGTTTCGGGGTTTAGGCAGTTTGGTCGCTATCTGGCCAAAATGGCGTTGTTCCTTCTGGTTTCGTGTTCCTTGTGAGTGTTTAGAAGACCCTAGACCTTGATACAGACCGAAATTTTGTTAGAATTTCCGTTTATTTTAGACAATAGGTTGCCTGCGGTGTGCGGGGGATCTTCGTAGATCTTACGATCCCAGGCTCCAGCTTGCGGGCGCGTCGACCATCGAGCGCGTTCTTGATCCGTGCTCGAAGTGACGGCCAAACGGACGGCGGGAGCTCAAGAAGCGGAGCTTTCTCTATGGTCAAGCTCTCTGGTAGCTGGCGCGTGTCCAAGTGTCAGAGCTCTGGGTGTACGCCTCCCGAACATTCCGGTCACAAACAACGCTGGACTGATCAGTGTGGTCAGCGATTTCATTTCCACTCTGGAAATCGTTTGTTCGCCTTCCCGCTACGAATCTCCAGCTCAGAAGGACCAGTTTACCGAAATTTTCGGGGCTATACACGTTTGAAAGTTAAAATTTTACGCGGTGCGGACTATCTGCACGCGCTGACTATAAGGACTTTTTTTTTTTTTTTTTTGCGTGTTCATTGAGGAGACGTTACGGATTTTGTGAATGACAAATTATGCACCGGGATCTAAGAAGAAACTTTTCTTTTATATCACACCTTTGCCTTTACGGACTATATACCTGGTGCTTACTGTGGCCTGGCAAATCCGGTACGTATGACATACGAGCAGACATGTGTCAACATCCTACACAGGCACCCGCGTTGGTGATGACCCGTTGCTGGTACACTCAAGAAGTTCCTTGGAACCAACTGTACCTATAGATTTACAATGTTTACAGGTTGTCTCGGGCAGCATGTGGGCATATTCTATAACACGGATGTCCAGAGGCCTTGCGACGCATTCACTTCCACATGCCACCTGTGTTGTGTCAACCGCAACGTTTCCGGCGCTTGGAACAAACACCATACACGTCGTCGAGCTACTCATGCGATGAAAACGAACGTTGCGATTTGTGATCATTGATTTCACCTACTTGCCCGCTTCGTTTTGGTGACGTGCCGAAGTAACTCTTGTTGTGAAACCGAAATAATTTTGACCAACGACGTAAAATCTCAATATTTTGTGTCGTGTTGTCCGATTTTATTTCTCAGTATATCATATTTTATCTGAACGAGCCTATTTTGTTAAATTAAGAATTTATTTGTAAAATTTTAATTACTTAATGTGGTTTATAAGATTGTTTTATTAAATAAGTTGCAACGTTCGATAAGGTGGCCAGTCTGGCGAGGCTCCGAAACTGTCCGAACCTCTTCGAAATACACCGAGGTTCAGCCATTCTTTCCGAAACCTGTCTCGGAAAAAAATTTCGCCCCATCACTATAAAAAAAAAAAAAAAAAATAAAAAAAGGTGATGGGGCGGGTGATTAGCTTTCGCTATAGCCCCTCTCCGAAATTCATCCCATTTAGGGATATACTGTATAGGCTCCCTACGGAAGCCATAGTTTCGCGGGGTTTTTTGCCAAGTGCCGCCGCGCTGCTATTCGCCGAAATCCGATCACGTGAGGAGCAGAATCCAAGTGCCGTGCAGGAAAGCCACCGATACGGACGCTTCGCACGGCGTGTGTTCCCCTGCTTTTGCCTCCTCCTCCTTCCCTGTTTTCCAGGAAAGCAGGAGAAGGAGCGCGCCGCGTGCCACCACGCGCAGCGCCGCTATCCGCTGAATTCAGTCACGTGACGAGCAGATTCCCGGACTGCGCAGGAAAGCCGGCACTACGGGGATGAGCTCTGGCTTCCGTAGGGAACGTATACGGGAGCTCTAATCCCATCCATCTGGTGACTCAAGAAGCAACTTTCGACAAACTAATGACGGTCATGACTTCACATTTCATCGGGCACCGTCGCCTTCGCACGTCAATGACAGATGAGAATTGGTTCTTCGATCACCTCAACATTATAGTAGAAGTTTGGGCTAGTGGGGTATTTCATGACTAAAGATTAAAACAGCCCAAGGACACGGACAAGAACAAGAAGGTAGACAAACAAGGCGCTGACTTACGACTGAAGTTTATTCGTTCTAACAGCGAGTATAAATACTGTATTGTCACAACAAACAAACATGAATAAAAAGCTTGACCTGGATGCCACGTGCTCACTAGCCATCGCTATGCACTGTCACTGTGTGTCTAAATAGGAACGTTCCTTATCTGATAAAGATAGTGACGGAGGGCTGACCACAGTTTTGCCCCAATCTTCCGATTTCCCGCGCCTCAATGATTTCCCGAGTGAGTTTGTCTTCATTTTTCCTAATCACTTCACACTTGTCAAAGACGCGAGCGCAGCAACAGTCTCGGCAGTGCGGGCCAAGGTGACCTGACACAACTCTAAACACGTTATACTTGTGCTCCCGCAGCCGATCATTGAGGCATCGCCCCGTTTGCCCGACGTATCTCCTGCCACACGAGGGGGGAATAGAGTACACTACTCCCTCCACACAGTCTACGAATTGGTCCTGGTGTTTTTTGGTGCAACCCTGCTCGTCTTTAGAACAGGAGTTTACTTTCTGCACAGCCCAGGCAGCCTCTCCGGAGCCGAAAAAACCACATCAACACCAACCCTACGGCCAACTTTCTTAAGGTTGTGAGATATCTTATGCAGGTATGGTAAAACAGTTACTTTTTTGTTAACCCCACAGGTTGAAAGAAAGCTTCGACACACAAGCAGCAAGGCTCAGACATGCGGGATATCCGTCTTACCTGTTGACGACAGTTGCTGAGAGCTTACTTAAGAAAGGACGTGAGGAAACTACCCAGCAGGCTCGTAGGGTTAACAAAAAAGTAACTGTCTTACCATACCTGCATAAGATATCTCACAACCTTAAGAAAGTTGGCCGTAGGGTTGGTGTTGATGTGGTTTTTTCGGCTCCGGAGAGGCTGTCTGGGCTGTGCAGAAAGTGAACTCCTGTTCTAAAGACGAGCAGGGTTGCACCAAAAAACACCAGGACCAATTCGTAGACTGTGTGGAGGGAGTAGTGTACTCTATTCCCCCCTCGTGTGGCAGGAGATACGTCGGGCAAACGGGGCGATGCCTCAATGATCGGCTGCGGGAGCACAAGTATAACGTGTTTAGAGTTGTGTCAGGTCACCTTGGCCTGCACTGCCGAGACTGTTGCTGCGCTCGCGTCTTTGACAAGTGTGAAGTGGTTAGGAAAAATAAAGACAAACTCACTCGGGAAATCATTGAGGCGCGGGAAATTGGAAGATTGGGGCAAAACTGTGGTCAGCCCTCCGTCACTATCTTTATCAGATAAGGAACGTTCCTATTTAGACACACAGTGACAGTGCATAGCGATGGCTAGTGAGCACGTGGCATCCAGATCAAGCTTTTTATTCATGTTTGTTTGTTGTGACAATACAGTATTTATACTCGCTGTTAGAACGAATAAACTTCAGTTGTAAGTCAGCGCCTTGTTTGTCTACCTTCTTGTTCTTGTCCGTGTCCTTGGGCTGTTTTAATCTTTAATCTCAAAATTATCTCTTGATTTGTTTCAGTATCAAGGTATGAACATCACAACTGACCAGTACAAACCTGGGACCCATAAGCCCCCTAATAGAATTTCCGCTATCAATTCCTTTGCAAAAGCCAAACTTCTGCGAAGGGATTGATTGGGCCACACTTTGGAAAGAAACGCTTACGCAGGCAGTCGTTGTATCTCAATCGTGCGCCGTGTTGTATCGGCATCTCGAAAGTACGGGCCTCGAATATCCTCCGCTTGAAAGTACCTTCAACTTCTACCTTCCTCAGCCACAAGAAGGCCTCTATTATCTGGCGCAAAGACCATACGGCCATAACAATGGAACACCGGATGGATGGATGCTAAGGGCTATACCCTTTGTAACGGGCGGTAGCATGCGCCACCCAGCCTAAGTCTAAAAAGACAAAGTGATAGTGATCAAGGTTGCAAGACTAAATTCCGAGACGAGTCTATTCAAACAACCGGTCGAACATTCATCTTCTAAACATTTTAACGAAGTTTAGAACGTCCAATATCCTCCACGGTTGTTCGCTGTCAAGAATCAAAGAACCAGAGCCACTGGCCCTTCCCATGATGCCGCGAGAACCCGAGCTTCTGCACTCTAGCCGAGACGCGCAACAGTCACGTGCTTCGGTTACTTTACGAGTCTCGGAGATCGTGAACGCTTTTCGCTCGGTCAGTGTGCGCCGAACCGTTTGAACGAAATAAACCCGCGAGGAAAAGAAAGCAGCGGACTTACGCCCAAACCATGTGAACTTCTCGTTGAAGTTGATCTCTTCGCTGTCGCTGTACCTCGGCGTAGCTGAAATAGAAGAATGGGGATCGTTTCTTTTTCTTTCTTCCTTCTCTTGTTCTATTTTAGGGGAAGACTTTAACGCAGACTCCAAGGATTTGCTTTTCGCCGAATAAATATTCGGAATGCCCAAGCTGTCAGTATTTTTGTCTGCTTTTGCACCTCCAGAACGCCGCGAAAGGTAATAAAATAATAATAATAATAAAAAACAAAACATCCGTAAAAAGAAGGGGGGGGGGGGAGGGGGAGGGAATAGCTTTGTTAATGTCGATGTCGAGGAAAGTTCAAGTTTTATCGAATTTTTTGCCATCAACGCGTTTCACTATTGTGATAGGTAACAAGAGACAACAGAGAACGTGCAGGCGATCGAGTTAACTTTTTACAGCTTGAGAAGAAAAAAAATGAACAACGCACACACACAAATTTGAGATGTGTGTGTTGCCTACATTTCGTTGCTAAGTCTCGGGTTTTCAAGATGACAATAAGGAAGCTAGGACCTTTTTGCAAACTTTCGGGGAGGGGTTTCTTTGTCAAAGGGACTACCTCATAGACGACAATATGGAGAAAAATGAAGTATGTGCCCCATTCTCTCTTCAATTATCGTCGTCGGGTGATTGCACGAGGGTCGTTCGATTCCAAGGACGCAGTCGAGGAAAGCCCGCAGCCTACGGCGGCTTTGCGGCGAGCCCGGCCAGAGACGGGCGCGCGAGGAGGACTCACCCTGGAGCGTGATGTTGACGCTGTTGAGGCCGATGTGGACCCCGACCCGGGCCGAGATGCGGTCGCTGGAGAAGGCGCGGTAGGGACTAGAGACCATGGCTGTCGCAACGTGCCAGTCGCTGCCGTAGATGGAAACTGCACGGGGAACAGAGACTCTCTTTGGTACCTCGGCGATGCTGTCTTCGAGCCCTTCCCCCAAAGAGCGACAGCGTACTCATGGAATGGCGTGTATACATATGAAATACAATTTAAATAGCGGGGACCGACAAAAAGCTTCACGAGCTCTATACATTTGACAAGATTTTCAAGTTGAGTGTACATCGCTTCTCCACCCTTTCCCACACGGAACGAAGTTACAGGTAACAACAATCTGCACGAATACTATTCAATCATGAAAGCATTAGATCCTAAGTGAAAAGGTACTGTTCATTTTTTAATTATCGAAGATTTATGGTGTCCATATGATTATCGACACCAGATGAAACCCACATTTTGGTTTCGCTGTTTACCGAACTGACCGAGTCCGAGAGAGAAGCGGAGGTGTTCTTTTAGCTGTGAATAATGGTATCGCATCGAGGCTTATCCAGGCAAAAACTAGCTTGGAAATCGTCTGGGTGTGCCTTATCTCTAAGCCCAGAATACAATACTGGGTGTATGCTACAGGCCGTCAGAGAGTACTAGGGATTTCGTTACTGAGCTTCATAGATGCCTTTTCAGCTTACAACCCTTTATCGCCACAGCTGTTCTTCTTGGAGACTTTATTATATTGACGGGGCTGCCCTCTCCCCCGGCAATGCTTTTTTTGATGCATTCGTTCACCTTTGCCTTGAATTTTATCTTTTCAACGTTATCACTCAACCAACCAGAACTACCAAAAGCTGTAGTAATGTGCTAGACTTGTAACACAAGAGCCAGCCATTAGCAGTAATGTTACATACTTACCCAGTATTACTGAACACCTTGTGATCGAATTACCACTCTCCCTCACCACTGCTCACAAATCACGCTACACTAAATTCGCTCGGAATTACGCGAGTGCCGACAATACCTCTGTCAACTCGCAGCTGGAACATCACTTCTGATAACAACAATCCGATTCCGTGGTACAACAAAACCATTCATAAGCACTCCAACAAAGCGAAAAAGGCTTTATAGACGAGCTATGTGTTGCGACACACTAGAAGCCTGGGCAAGCCGCGAGTGTGCAACAGGACACGAAACAACCGAGTTTGGGAAGTACTTCAAGTATATTGTACTTCAAGTACTACTTGAAGTAGGTTTAGGAAACTTGTACCTTACTTGAAGTACATTCTCTGAATATGTACTTGTACTTTACTTAAAGTATTTTTTTTTCTGGTGCTTTCCGAGGAAAGTACAATTCCCGACTCTAAAGTACATTCCCCCAATCCGGTTTTGTTAAATTAGTATCACGAAATTATGCTTTGTTAACTCCAAAGAAATACTGGGAGGTTTATTTTACCCTTACCAGAAACGTGAGCAGACGACGCATCGCTCCGTTTGTTCTGGGGGCGGCTTTGCCGTAGCTTATTCAACTCTCGCTACTTCTCGGTCGGTCAGTGCGAGCGAGGGGGTTTAAAATATTAGGCGAGCAAAATTAATCATAATGTAGCACCTGAGACTGTGGTGCGGAAAAATTAAACTTTCGAGTCGAAGAAAAAGACAACAAAGGAGAACGTTACAATGTTATGAAACATCATCTTTTGTCTTTTCCTTCGACTTGAAAGCTCCTTAATTTTTTCGCACCCCAAACTCAGGTGTCACATTATGATTAATTATCTCCAGCTCGCTTGCACACTCACTGTGTTTTTTTTTTTTCATTCAGAAGAGGACACTCCTCTATGAGAGGATTGCTTGCGGAAGCTACAGGGCTGACGTCATGCTCTCTCCTAGTACATTGAACCCCCTTGGGTGCAACAACCCAGTGCAATAAAATCACAATACAGTGATCTTCTGGAATTTGTCTTCATTCCTGAGAATAAGTACTCTGTGGCCACTTTATGAAATATTTGAAAATAGGTCATGCAGCCCTGATTACCCCTGGGCAATGCATACCTAGGGTTCGGAGTTTTCGGTTTGAACCGATAAAAACCGATAAAAGTATGCCGAATCCATTTTCTAAAATTCCTTTTTAACCGAAAAAGATCAGTTTTTTAGGGCCGCGTCGAGGTTGGTGGGAGGGAGAAAGAGAGAGGGCTTTGCAAGGTTCGACATTGTGTGACGTCTTCGTGATTTCCTTCTTCCAAGGTTCAACATGCAGCAAAAGAGGTCTTGGATTCTCCTTTACGGGACATATGTGTCCTTTCTGTGATCGGGCCGAGTGGGTAAAGTTCTCGGTCCTAAAAGAAAAAAAGTTCGGATGTGGGCTACTATAAGTTTTTCGCTTCATGCACTTCAAAGGACATCGAGGTTTTATGAACACTCTCTCTCAAACTTCCTCGTGGTTAAAAACGTAAATAAAATGGATTTTTTTGTTCGTTTTGTCATTCCGCTGGTTCCTGTTCGGTCATCACCTCGGACGGTCACGTCGTCAGAATGGGAAGGAAAAAGAAGTGCGTTAAAGATTATGGTTGCGAACTCCACGATTTTGAGGTGTGTCCTGACGGAAGTTGCACCGAAGACCAGGTATGTATATGTGCCGTTATTTTTTGACTGATCACAAATATCTCAGCTACAACTTAAGGGTCATTTGATCCGGCGTCCGATGGTGTTTCTTTCATATTGACCGAAAGAAACCGGTAAACCTTTTTGGGAGTAAATATACACCGAAAGAAATCGAAAATTGAATTCTAAAATACACACCGGAAAAAGTACGCCGAATTTTGAAAAAATAAAAACCGAAAACGCGGAATCTTATGCATTTCAGTCGAAAAATCACTGTATAGGGGAATGAAAGGGCATCATGAACGATTGTGTTAAACTACTTGCGCTTTACTTTGAAAGTTCATTGTATTTATAGTACTTTACTTCAAGTACATGGAACCCAGTGTACTTACTACTTTACTTGAAGTACATCACGTCTAATTTACTTTGTACTTTACTTGAAACACCTTTTAGATGTACTTTGCCCAACACTGCGAAACAGCTAGATGAAGCGAAAATTAAATTTTATACTCGGTACCTCTCCAACATTTCGGTTAACAAGCCGAAGAAATTCTTCCAATTCTCCCTTGCAATTCGCTGACAAAGCGGGCATAATATTTCCGATCACTAAAGTGCTCTTTCACTTGGTAATTGATTTAGTTCTGTCTTCACAGATGAAAGCTTTAATTCTTAATATTCCCGTCTCGCGCCAGTTTCTGCCCACTCCTATGAGACCCGTCGCCCTTCAATATGCCAACGTCCTGAAAGAAATTGAAAACTTAAAGCTGTCTTCCAGCTTAAGAGATGATCAAATAAATTCTAAGGTTCTAACAGACACATAGCACTCTTCCGCAGCTTTCCTTTGTGAAATATTTTCCCAGTCTCTTAATCTTTCTGAAATTCCGCGGTATTGATAAACTGGACATAACCCCCCCTGTATTCAAACCTAGTGACCGTGACCTAATTGCAAACGACCACCTCATAGCTTATGGAACACGTACTTTACTCCAATATAATCAATAATCTAGAAGATAACAACTTTCTTTTTAATCACATACACGGATTTCGGAAAGCATACTGTTGCGAAACCCAACTAACGGCGTTTCTTCATGACATTCACGCGGGTCTTTATGCCAACATTCAGACTGACGCCATTTTTTTATCGACTTTTCCAAAGCGTTTGATAAGGTCCCTCATCGACGTCTTATAACATTTACGAATTTAAGATACAGCCCGCAGCATAAAAGGAATATCCGAATTTTCGACTAAGGGCACAAAGTACGCCACCATCTATACTTCTAAATCCCCCTCGTGCGCGGTAACCTGGGGCGTCCATCCGGGCAGTGCACTCGGGCCCTCACACTTTTTGATCTACATCATGAGCACATCTCATCATCAGCTGGGTTAGTTGCAGATGAGTGCGTAATTTACAAGCCCATTATCTCGCCCGAAGCTCAGGATAGCTTATAAACATAAATTTTACAAGGTATTCAATGATGCAATAAATGGCAGATGATTGAATTTCGACAGACGCAAATCTCTTTGGTTTTCTCGTCGTGCTCTTCTTAAACCTTTTTCTTACCATCTTGACGGCTCCCCTTTCACCGTTTGCACTTCATGCAAATATCTAGATATTCATTTAACGTCAGACTTCTCATGGACGTCTCAGATCAATAATATAGTAACAAACGCAAACAGTGCCCTCGGCTCTTTGCGCCGAAACCTGAAACCCGCAACACAAGAGATAAAACACTCAACTTTAGTTCGCTCTAAAGGCCCCTACGCACAGTTGCGTTTGAGAGCGTTTGGGTGCAAGGAATGGGGAGTTTTAGTAGACCGTGTTTCCCCCTCCACTAACCCTCCGCTACGAAGAAACCGCCACTGCAGCTGCGCGCCGAAGGCCTTGGCTGTAGAGTTCCGGGACCCGCCGTTGCGGAGGGGCTTAGCGGGGGAGAAACACGGTCTACTAAAACTCGCTATTAGCTTGGCACGCGGCATAGGGATGTGCTGGTTTCTCGTCAACCGTCTGAGCGCCTTGGGCACGACACCGCCGCCGAAATGTGTCTCAAACATCCTGTCCATTCTCAGGTTGGTTTTTCATCATCACCCTACCGATGCAATAACGTGTGCATCATTTTGGTGTCGTGCCCACCTTGTGTGTATGATTGTGTGTCTTCAGCGCGTTCCAGGCTTGTTTCTTTTGTGTCAGACCTGTGTCCAATTGCTGATAGCATGAGAAGAAAACTACTCTTGTCCGGAGATATTGAGGCCAACCCTGGGCCCGATAACAAGCCTTGTGACGACACATCGCCAAATCAAATCACAACGCTACTAAGCAAGTTATCCAACGGCCAAACAGAAATCCTAGCTGAAATCAAATCTATGCAAGAAAAGCAACGTCATACTGACTCTGTCTTGGCAACCTTCAAATCTAAAATTGACGACATCGACCGCGAAATTTCGAGCCTTAAAACAATCAAAGAAGACGTGGCTGCGGTATCAAAAATCACTGCAACGAACACATCCGCGATAGC